TATAGGATAGATGAATAGCCCAAGACAAAAGGAGAGATACCACAACTGTTTATTATACAATTGGTCAAAGAATCGATTTCACTTGTCTCTTTGACTAGTTGTGGTATGGTGCTAAAGCTGGCAAGACTCAGTGAATATGCCAACGAAACGTCTGGGAATGTACCAAGCCCACGGTCCGACTCCGGACAAGTTGTCTTCCTCTTGAACGTCCTAAATATAAGACTAAGTTGCAAAATCAAGTTCAAACAACTTCTATACAACGAAAAGAGACTGCGACCATACAAATGGCCACATTATCCTCGTCTTCATTCCTTTGATTAAACTTATTTAGTTGCCAACGCACTATACACTTTCTTTATCTTGACCCAATGCCCGCCAAAATATTCTATGACCGTCATCATAATATGTTTTGGCTCAATCTCCAACAATTTGATTGCTCTCCGTATTCAAATTTGTCGAACACTCCTATCCCTTGCATCTTTTATTTACTTATTTAGTTTTTCGTTTTTTTACTCCTGATGTAGTAAGTGCTTGAGTTTCTGTCATTCGAAGTTACATTTTCCTTATTGGTGCTTAAGAAACCTATTTATCAAGCTTGGGCCTTACAGGCAGTGTAATGGGAGCTCTTGATACTTTGCATTATCACAGTATTAGTAATATACCTGAAAATTCGTCTAAATTCAATTTCTTTTGCTAGTTTGTCCTATATGATAACACTTTCTACCTAGCTAAATAATTTACTTTTTTCCTCTTCTAGTGACTATCTGTGATCCAGGTGACCTTGTTATAGTTTGCTCAGATGGTCTTGCTGATAACTTTGACCCTGTTATTGCACATTTGGCTGTGGAACAGTCTCCTCATTTAGCCTTTGTCGATGATGACATCGAGAGCGAGATTGATCTTGACAGCGACTTGTCCGATCTCCCCGAAGCCAAAAGCGTAAAGGGTCTTGCCGAAAAGCGTGTCGCCCGATATGTAAACAGCTTGCCTCTCTCTTCCAAGACGCCTGATGGCCTCCGTTTCGGTGCAAAGCGATCCCAAATAACCTGGACGCGATCGTCACCACTTCCTCCTCCACCTAACCGGTCCATCTGGCCACGACCTCCGCCACCTCCAAGAGCTCCGTCTCCTGCTTATTATAGCCCCATTATCGATGTGAGTAGCCGTATAAAGAAGTCTAGTACTCAGGAAAGATTTTCTGGAGAGGTTTCCCAATCAACTAGTATCGCAACACTTTCTGACACTGCTGAGTCGGTTGACATCAGCGCCCGCAGTCTCAACTTCACTGATCGACTCGAGCTAACCTGGTCCGAACGTCGTCGCTACGCGGCCAAGGAGATGGAGCGTGTCTGGCACGAAGTCGATTCTGACTCGCGGTATCCCGGTGCAGTAAGTGCACATGAATACGCTGAGGCATTGCTAGGACACGTGTTTCGAGTCACTGCGGCTCGGCGACAGCTTCTGGAGGCTCCTGACAATGCATGCCTCAAGGCCGCAACCCAGACGCTAGCTTCGGCTAGTAGGCAGCGCGAAGTGGCCTCGCCGGCAGTTAAAGTGTCCTCTGGAGGCGAGACTACTTCGTCTAAATCCCATTTACGCCCATCGTCACTTGGGTTGAAACCGACGCTTTATAGTCCCAAGGAGCTGGCCGTCAGACAGGCCTTGCTGGCGGACTCATTGGCCCGCCTACCTGGAAAACTGGACCACGCCACTGTTGTTGTCTATGAAGTGGGTGTTTTTCGAGGCGACGAGAGCGAAGTCTACGAGTCGGGTTCAAGGAGTTGCTTGTCACCGCATTCCAACAGTTCAGAGCAAAGGCTATCAAACTGCTGCAATGGGCAGTTTGACTGATTCAGCTAGTCTGATAAATTCAAGGTGCCGATCTATTTTCCCAGATGGACTTGACATCTTCAACTTGATCATAGAGGACTGGCAGATCCGCCATCAGCCTACCTAATTACTTATTCGTCTATCTGCTTGCTTGTATGCGCTCCTATGTCTTCATTTATTGTTTAGTTATTCACTATTTTTTTTAGCTGGCTATTTTTGGTCAATTAGCTGAGTGTTGTGTGTTTGTGTCTATTTGCTATCTGTGTC